GAGCCCTTCACTACGGCATCTCTCATAATCATAATGTGGTTGTGGGACATTAAAGCTCGCATATTAATCATTGTCGCTAGATACTGCAACTATCCGCCCTGCTTAAAAGCTGCATACAACGCTTTCTTTACCGCTCCTTTCCAATATATTTCCTTTTACTTTCCAGAAGTGCCCATGGGCACGGGCAAAGGGCTTAGGAGGATCGAGCTCCATAAACTTCATGCTGTACGTTCGTGGCAACCGGCGTGACTATGACATTTGGAGGAACGAGTACGGAACAGAAGGTTGGGCTTACAATGACGTGTTGCCGCACTTCAAGAGCATTGAAAGATCGATGGTTCCAGACCATGATGGACGTGAGTGCGTATTATGCTGAATTGATGCATGAGTTAGGGCGTTGTCGTGTGAGATTCGTATGGTTACAGCTTTGATGAATTGGAGCGCTTAAGTTTTCAATAGCCATGTGCAATGGCGCTCCCTCAAAATTTTCAACAAGTGGGTGACTTAGTACGACATATATGTAAGTACCTCCACAAGTCTTTGTTACTTAAAATTCTGAGAATTACGGTAGTTGGTACGTCTTTATTCTACAAGACAGGGCGTGAAAACTTGGAGAAACGCATGAAGTCTGAAGGTCACAAACCATATGTGGTCAATTCTATGAGCGTGACACACACACACATGTTGTTGGTTGAGGACCTCGTAGAGGCAAGACTCCATTGCTGCTTTCTTAGTATCTCTTGCAGGTTCGTGTGTTGTAATTGTTTCGCATGCATTTCACATATGAAACGCCTACAAACCTAATAAGACTAGAAATGCCACTGAAGTGTTTCCGGACATTTCTGCAATATAATTGGTATTGTGAGAGAGTGGAGGCTTGTGTTTCTAAATAGATAACATCTTTCATGCTCGCGACGTGTTCTGGTTGTAATGCGCACTAAGATTTCTTTTTGAGTAGGCTGTTTTCATTCTCTATCGATTGAATAACAATTTGCGAGAAATTTACACTCTTACGATGACAAGCTTCACACAAAAGGAGATATAGAAAATACAATGTCTAGTCATGTAAACATGGACATGCGTTCTTGCTAACCATCTGTGCGCGGACTCTTCATACACATATTGCGCTCCTGTAAATATTTATTCTGCATGTATGTTTCATGTTGTATTCTTGGTTAAGCAACATGTTGCATGCGTCATATGGTAGCGCTCTCAGTTTACCTAATTGCTTTCATTTATCGACGCGTAGACAGGCATTCCTATTACTTCATACCGATAACCTGGGAGCAAGTCGACGGAGTAGCTATGAAAGGCGTAGTGGCCATGTACTTCGGTCGACATGACAGCAATGTACTTTATTTTTGTCCCGTGTTTCATTCATGAACCCTTATAAGAGCAGCACGAAAAGAAACATTATACCGTCTATCTTCTCCGTCTACGTATTTTAGGCCTGTGCTCTTTAGCGTTCTTGAACAGTGGCATGCTAATTGTGGCAGCGAAAGTTGGTAACATGGCGGCCATCATCGTATGATGAGCACAGAGAGAACTTGATGAAAGTGGCGAGTTGGCGAGTTATTGGTACATACTGTAGGGGTTTCGTGGCTGCTCGGCCCAGAATCCCGCAGGGAAGACGCCGAGCCAGACCAGGCACCTTGTTTATTCCTCTAAGCCTCGGCCGCAACTGCCCGCTGCCAGCGGCTGCCGCGTGCCCCTCAAGTGCTTCGGCGATCGTCATTTTCCTCTTTGTTCTGTCATCAGCAGTCTCACTGATACTGCCTCCTCCCCTTCGGCGAAAGTGGAAAGGGGGACGTGATGCGGTAGCCGCTAGCCCTGGCCACGACATACCGAAAGTGGCACGCATGACCACAGGCCGGCACAGTGGATTCGCACACAGGGGCCAACTCCGCCACCGCCTGAAGACGGAGGCGCGCCGGACTTGCTCAAGTTGACGAGCACCGTCGTCGACGAGTGCATGACAGAACGCCGATGCTTCTGGTGCAGCGCCAGTCCCGACGAGTCGTAAGGCATCATCGTGTGTCAGTTTTGTTGTGTCTGTAAGGACCACTTGCGCACCGGTGGCGGCCATTCCTCCGTGTGGTTGGTAGTCCTCGAACGCTGGTGGCCTCGGCAGCCATGGGGTCATGACATCCTTTCCGAAGCTCAGACTGCAAAAGCCACCGGTGCTCACTTCTTCGTCCTCGCTGATGTGGATACCTGACCACTTTTCGAATTCTCTCTCGACGCAGCTTTGGTACTCAAGGACAGCTACGTTGCGCGCAATGCCAGACACGCTAATGCAGTTGCTTGTATTGTCCACCGCTTCCTCCAACTGCTCCACCTTTTCTCTCGCCCTCTCCGTGAATTCCTGCAGCTGCGTCACCTCTTCTCAAAGCCTGAATTGCTGTTTTTTCACTTGATGCTTCCTTGCCTGAAGCTCCTCCATTGGTCGTACGCTCCTAATATCTGCCGAGAGCATCTTCAACTTTGCAAACTCGGCATGCATGGTCTCTGGTTTAGCTTAGTTTTGCGTCAGACCGTGCTTCATGATAGTCTCAGAGTGTGACGAAAGACTGAGCTGCCTCTCAAGTTCGGAGGCCTTGGCTATCAAGGACAGCTACGTTGCGCGCAATGCCAGACACGCTAATGCAGTTGCTTGTATTGTCCACTGCTTCCTCCAACTGCTCCACCTTTTCTCTCGCCCTCTCCGTGAATTCCTGCAGCTGCGTCACCTCAATTTCCTGGCCAGCCTCAATTTCTTGGATTAGCTCCTGGTTTTCCTTACACCTTGCTTTCTTCTCGCCAAGTTCCAAATTTTGCACGCGTGCTTGAAAAGCCTCCCGATCGTGGTCCTGCTTAGCCTGGGCTAGCTCGCACGGAGATTAGCTGCATGCATTCAGGGCTCGTGCAGCTGTAAGTCTTGGAGTGCACGCTGTCACTGAATTTTTTCTTCACGGTTGCGCCTCATGCTTGCTAGTTCAGTGTCCCTCTCGAGCAACTGCTCTTTGAACTTGGCGCACTGTGGCTGCCGATTCCTGAGACGCTTCTGAGAATCCACAAACAGCCTGTTCATGTGACTGCGATTTGGCGAGTCTTCAGATAACTTTTTCTCCAGTGTACGGACCTTTTCCTTCAGTTCCGAAGTGTGAAGATTCCTCTCGTCAATCATGTTCGTTTTCTTGGGCTTGTACACGTCGTGTTCGTGCTGGAGACCATCGCGTGCATCAGCCAAGCTTCCACACTCGCGTTCCAACTGGCTCATGTGGGTTGTACGCCACAGTGCGTCCTTCTTCAAACTATCCAATTAGGATTAAAGGGTACTCTTGTCCCTCTCAAGGTCACGAGAGTGGGCCACCTCCGTGCCAGACTTCCATTCATCTGGTGTTATTGTCATGTACCTGCAAACCACTACTGTGTTTTTTCCTCTTATTCCTCGTCGTCTTCCTTCGCGTCATGTATGCTACTGCTTCATACCGGGACTTCGTGAGCACATTCAAGATTGGTGTCTCCGCTCGCTCCACAGGGCTGCATCGCGTCGCGTCAGCGCCCACTCTAACGTCAGCAGCATCGCATGAACCCTGTCGACACCAATGGACTTCTGCCTTGCCTTCATGGAGCTCACCTCCCTCCCCTGCGACGATGGATACGGCCGCAGTAGACGGCTCGGCAATTTGCTGAGCAAAGCAAGCAAGCTTCTTGAGGGAAGGAAAGGAGCGGCCTAAAAGGTGTACCATGAAATGAGGGTGGCATCACCGAATAACCTGCAAGACCCTAACGGCCTCAGGAGCAGTAGAGTCTGCCCGACAGAAGAGCTTTTGCATCACCTGAGCATAATCTAGCAGACCCTCTAGTGGTTGTTGTGTTCGGGCGTCGACCTCACGCCGAATACGGCAGTCGTAGGTGATCGGCAGGAGTTATTCCCTAAATGCCGCGACAAACTGGTGCTAGGACTGGAGGGTATGGTGAAAATGTCGCCATAGATCTGCGGCGCCACCCAGGGCAACTGCTAGGACCCTCCGGAGCACGTCAGACTCCAAGAAGCCATTAACTGCCGAGTATACGAAAAGGTCGTCAATGAAATCGATGACCGATTCCGTCGCTCCTTGAACAGAAGACGTGGGCATGGCCAGTGGCGTCGGCAGGGCCATGGTCGAAGACTGCCTAGATGTCCGTGGCCCAGGGGCGAAGTTTTTCTGTTGGGCGCCAATAGTGGGCCTTTCTAGGCTGCTCAGCCCAGAACCTCACAGGGAATACGCGGAGCCAGACCAAGAACCTTGTGTATTTTTGTAAGCTTCGACCACAACTGCCCGCTGCCAGCGGCTGCCGCGTACCTCCCAAGCACACCCGCGATCGTCATTCGCGTCTTCTTTCTGTCAGCGGCAGGCTCGCTGCCGCCGCTTCTATATTGCCCCCTTCTTGCATGTTCCAGCCATAAAATACAGAACAGACGGGAAAAAAGATGGCTTGCCTATTCACCAGATTTACCGCGATAA